AACATTTTAGACCCAAAAAGAGACACATTGACCATTCTTTTGTGTACTTACATTCACTTTATCAGTTGTTAATGACCTAGTCTTGTATCACTTGAGTTCGCATTTTGCCCACAACTATTGCTTGTATTTAAGAGGATAGTCATGGTCAGGACCAGCCAAGTTTAGAAATGAGCAATTGTAATACACGCACAAGCGCATAAACACACATGCGTCTACACAATGCATTGAAAGGTTAGATGATAACATCTCGAAGCATGCAGCAATTCACATTCATTTCACCTCTGAATTGAATCTCAAATTACCATCTGAAAAGGCCCAATCTAGCCGCGGCTTATTTTCTACCTCAATCGCACAAAAAAAAAAAAAAAAAAAAAAAAAAAAGAAGCGAGCTGTTAAAGTTGAATAAATAATTTGGAAAGAAGCCTCTAAATCAGGGGTGTCAAACATACGGCCCGCGGGCCGGAACCGGCCCGCAAGGAGGTTCAATCAGGCCCGCAGGATAATTTAAAAGTGAAAAAAAATGCATAAAAGACACAGAATTAATATTTTTAATCAGGTGCAATTCATTGAGTATCCGCAAGGGGACACTGTTTTGATCAGAGAAGAAGACAACAGCAGCCTCAGTCCGTCACTGAGACAGACCCATGACAGCAGACGCTATCAATAGCACTCTCACATTTACACATTTAATAGCACTCTCCTTAGTTTGTAAGGTGTAGGCAGGGATTACATTTAGATTTTATATGCACGTGTAAATGGTTTAAAACTTCCTTTCTTTATAAATCTCGTTTGATCTTAAAGTGCATTACTATATTTTTCAATACCAATTACTTGTTAAAGTTTGTACAATCAGTGGGATCAGTTGCAATGCATATTTGTGAATGATAAAAGTAAATTGCACATTTGTCGAAGGAAATGTAAGGTGCTTCCTGAAATGTATTGTAAAAGATATGTTCATTAAATTTCAACATTTTCCTCATGTTCTTGTGCTTCTTTATACCAAAACAAAGGGAAGACATATTGTTTTTGTTATTTATAGCAAAGTATGGTATCATTTTAATGGTCCGGCCCACTTGACATCTACCGAGGCCGTATTTGGCCCACCATGTGAAATGAGTTTGACACCCCTGCTCTAAATCATCTGCATTCTAAATGTGTGTTGTGGTCATGCCAACTAACTGTCATCTGCAGACCATGTATATGTATTTATTTATTTAAAGGCTGAATGTACCCTAATATATTGTACTGTATATAATACATGTACTTAGGGCTGGTACATTTATATATATATATATATATATATATATATATATATATATATATATATATATCGTGATAGACACCTGATCGGTATCAATAGAATTGCATTCAATATAATATCAATTAAAAATAAAAATTGTTGCCGTGGCCAACTTAACCCAGTTTTCTAAAGGGAAGGAGAGGAGCTGCTTCGATTGTTGGCGAATCAAGTAGGCTTTTTTCATGCCCAAAGCGATGCAAAATGCTTGTTTTTAACTACACCAAGCGATGTGAGTCTGCAAAATTACCAACACACAGCCTAACCCGCCCCTGCTCAGATTTACACCACGCCTCGCCTTCGACTCGCAGCGTGCACAAAAATAGAGCCCTGAGTCTACATTCGGGAGTCATATTTCGGACCACAAGGGATACTCCCAAGTAGTAGAGTGTGCATTTGTGGTTTTTGCAACTCGTCACCATCTTAATTCTAGATGTGTTTTTTTACATAGCGATTTCTTTGAACATGTTGCAAATACCACAGTCTTGAGCGTATGTCACTCATCCATTTAAATACATATTTAATGAATGTAATGAAAGTTGTCATGCTTAATGTGCTTTAACCATGACAAGTGCCTAAAAGTCCCAAAGTCTCAATTTTGAGCTCCAGTTATGCAAGGGAAACCACAGTTGAAGCCAAATCTATTTAGGCGCGCGCGCGCGTGCGCGCGCACATACACACACACACACACACACACACGCACACACACACACACACATATATATATATATATATATATATATATATATATATATATATACACACACACACACACACACACACACACACAGGTATATGCGCTGTAAGATGGGCATGCTATGTATATGTATTTTTGCTTTGTGTCTGCTTGTCCGACTGTGTGACCCAGTACCAAATGGCCTGAAGCCTTATACTCGGCCACGGACCAGTGGTTGGAGACAGCTACGATTCAGTTTCAAATGGAATGAAGCGTTGCACTTTTCCACCCCCCCCAAAAAAGGGTCTTCTATTTACTGTGCCAATAGCCCTTTATAAAGCCAGACATTCACTTATTTGAAAATATATCTGTTGAACTAAGTCATTTTCTTTAGTTTTTTTTGTTTGTTTGTTTGTTTGTTTGTTTGTTTTTTTGTTTTTGAGGGAGAAAATGTGATTCATTAACCAACTAAATAAAGTCGGATATGTGATAAACTGTTGTTTTTAGAAATGTGTAGGAAATGTTGGTCAGGCATCGAAAACAATTTGTTGTCTAAATCGGAACTTGCTATGCATGCTGTCTGTGGTTCATAATGCACCCACTGCCTTGTAAATCTCTTTGGTGCACCATGTAGAAAGAGATAAGAACACAAGTACACAAGATAAGATCTCTTCGAAAAGGTTTCCTCTAGAGGTCAGCTGACATCGGGTTTCTGCCGTAAGAGGGTCGTCTTTGAATGCCATTTCACTTCAAGGTCTCTGTTACCCTGTTGCTCTTTCTTGGGGGGTTTGTACTGGTTTGTAACGTCTTTGTAAAAGGTAAGTTTGCAAACAGTTGTACTTGTCGCGAATGTTGTTTCTTGTCGGAAATTTTGAACATGTTCAAAAGTTTGAGCAATTGACTATTTCGCTGACAGTGGCAAGTGTTTGCAAAACAGTCATAATCATTTGTGTTCAATTTTATGAGACACACATTTCCATCATCGATGGTGGACAGCAGAAAACGTAATGCTGAGAAAGCTTTGCGCATCTTTTCATTGGGTTGAGTCTATGCCTGCTACTCCATAAGTTTTCAGAGTCCCAAAGGTTCCCAATCAGTGGCAAATAGTTGCTAGACCTAGTGTCCGAAATAGTCATGAATAGTCACCATCTGTCTTGTGCAGACAATTGCCAAAACATTCACTTTTTCTCAAAGCATCGCTAAATGCCGCTCATGACAGAGGCTACCCGCTGATTTTTGCCAACGTTAGTCAGAAAAGTTGACAAATTCAATTTTTGCTACCTTCGCCACCCACTGAGACACCATCTTGATGGCTATCCAGTGTAGTGTGACTATCAACTTAATATGTTCAGAGATGTGAGTGACATAATGCAAATATCAAGGATTGCCTCTCGATTGTACTCTTCCGTGTGGCAGGAAAAAAAAATCAATAGCCTTGACAGAATCAGTCAATGCAGAAATCATTAGCGCCCAACGTGATGCTTAAAAATCATCAACATCTCTGTGTACAAGGTGGTTGCAGTGTGAAAGAGTGATGTTTCAGCGCCTTTTCTCACTTCTAAAGTACCGTAATCCACTCTTGGGGCAGCCACATCAGTCGTCATCGTTATTTTAGTAAAAATGTAAATAATGTAAATTCAGCTCCAGTCATATTAATGCTGCACATTTAAATGTTTACTTAATTTGGAGGAACAACAATTACCATTTCAAATGATGACCTGGGCAAGAGACAGCCGCAGAGATAACGGAGACATGAACAATGCAATCTAAAAGATGCATTCACAATAATGGCTATTAAGCAGTTTTAAATGCAAATTAGTTTCATGAACAAAATACCAATCATGCATATTCACTGGCTTACAAAAGCCATGTCTCCAAAGTGAACTACTCGAGAAAAATTCAAACAGCGTGTAAGATGAAAACTTAAAGGATCAGAATCAGCACAGTCATAATGATAATAAAACTGAACATTAAAAATATGTTGTGAATAAAAATTTTCCATAACCATAAGTTCTCCACAGAATCAATCTTGTACTGCTCGAATGTGAACTGTTTGGTAAAGGCGGGGCATTCACTGCAATACTCTGTGCTGATTGCTTAATGCAACAACTTACGCACGCCTACCAAACTTTTGTTTTGACCAATCACGGCATCGGACAAAGATGTCACCGCTGGCACGCACCTTGTTTTGACAGGCCGAGTCCTGTAAGCTCAATGACTGGCACGGAGAGTGGGTTTTCTCCGGGTGCTTCTGTTTCCTCCCGCATTCCAAAAACATGCATGGCAGGTTGATGGAACGCCCGGAATTGTACCTCAGTGTGATTGTGAGCGCGGAGGGTTGTCAATCTACGTGTGCCCTGTGATTGGTTGGCAACCAGGTCAGGGTGTACCCCGCCTCCTGCCCGAAGACAGGCTCCAGCACGCCCGCGACCCTTGTGAGGATAAGCAGATTCGGAAATGTGTAGCTGGACAACAGCAAAAAGCATCAGATGGAAGGATGGACAGTATTAAAAGTGACAGAATATATTGCAGTAAATCATCATTATGTATCGGGACACTTCAAATGTAGCCCCAAATAAATACATGTTCGTGTCACCTGATTCAGTGGTGGCGTGTGTGTATATCCCTCCACCTTTGCATTTCACTCAAAAGCCCTCAGTGTCACCAGTTTTCTTTTGAGGGGGAGTTTGTGTTGTTTCAACATGTGAAAAGAAGATAAAGTCAGACCAGTTGTCTCTTTAAATCAAACGGCAGTCCCGATGTGCCCTCAAGCTGAAATGGTAAGAACCATTTCCACCTCTGCGGCAGGGAGTCTGACCAAATAGGCACGCTTCAAAAGAGATTCTCACTGCCTTGGTCTCTTGTGTTTTATGGTCTCCTCCATAGAGGATAACAAAGCAATTTATTTATTTATTTTTAATGTGAGTAGTTGTTGTTGTTTTCTTTTTTGTTTTGTATGTCACGTCTCCCTACGCAAATTAGGGGCAGGATTGCTAAATATTCTTGTTTTGTGCCTTCAATCCGCAGAACTCCGTGGCATTCGCCTCCATCCATTTACCTCTAGCTGCTCCGCACACCTCCTCCTCTGCCTTGCAATCTGTTGATAACTCCACTTGCAGGCTGCAGTTCATCGTATTCCGCAATGGCAAACTCTTCCCGTGCACGGGGAATTCGTCCAATCTCGCGGATGATGGGAAACGCAGGAGCGTGTCAACACCAGTTGCTTTCACCAAATTAGGTAAGAGGAAATCCATTTGACCATGTGCGGGTTTGTCAACGCGCTGTCTTGTTACGGCGTCACATGCCAAAAACAGCTTCTTCACACATTCGTCTCCAAATAAACACTACGCCACATCTGTCTTTGATTTATTTATGGATTTTGCACCACTGCATTGCACTTTTGCCACTGCACCTTGCTCAGTTTGGCATCGTGCATGTGTTTGCATGCGTGTTTAGATCGCGTTTTTTTAAATTAGTGCACTGGTCGACTTTTACGTTTCCGACACTGAATACACTACCCCCTTTTTTTTATTTTTCCTGCAGATGGCTGCAGCCTGGGGAGCGCCGTGCACTCCGTCACAATTGCACTCAGGCACTTCGCATTGGGGCTAGAGCCCACCGCAGCCTATTGGGACTTTGACTTGCTGGATGGACATGGTGGCTGGAGGGCAGAGGGTTGCCACATAACAGGCTCTGGTGGAAACACGACCACCATTCACTGCACCCATCTTAATAACTTTGCCGTGCTCATGGTGAGTAATCTATGAGATGGCAGTGTCATTCATGTTAACAACACCCCCACCCCTTCCTTTTCTACTCTTCGAGCCTGTTATGGGTCGAAAACATCGTTTCCCAATAAAGAATCGCTGGAGTCACGTGTTGGAAAAGCGTTCATGAGGAGGGCATTTAAAAGCTCCCTTTGTTGTTGGCTTTCTCCGCAGATTCGTCAAATGCGCGGACTATATTTTTAAACCTACTGTGTAGGGCTTTACATATATAGAAAATGCTCAAAATAGCTCGGAAATAAGGAATATGTTTTTTTTTTAATTGTCATTTGTTAAGGGGGCATTTTTCCCCACTCGCATAAAAAGAATAGGAATAGAAGTGATGTTCTGTGAGAGAAGGAGCGCCCTGTCAGGAGCTATTCGCCTTGGAGCGCAAGTGGTGTTTTAATTGGTCGCAACCACCGCGCCGAGAGAAAATGTTGGACTATGAAGCCTAGCATGGCTCATTTGTGCCGCTCAAGTTGATCTCGACGCCGGCGAGATGCCTCCTCCAGACGACGTCCCCTCTTCACGCTGATTTCATAAGGATAATAACCAAAGCGCAACTGGCAATCTCATCGCCCGAGTCGCTCCATGCACAGAGCCGCTTTTGTACCTGGTCTGATTATAATTTTATTTGATTTTTTTGGATGAAAAGAAATCCTCCGGATGTTTACCGAAGAGTGGGATTCGTTAGACTGGGAGGTCAGTTCTTAGTGGAGCATGAAAAGGGATGTGCTTGAAATGCTTGTCGCTGCTTTCCAAGTTGCCGTTTACCTGCATATTTTATGAGCTCGATCCAGCTTGTTGGAAATAAGCTGGTTGCAAAACGCCGCATAGAAATGACAAAGTGTGACCATACAGGCGGCGTGTGCGTGTGGCGATGGTGGTGGTGGGTATTGAAAGTATGGGGGGTGTATGAGTGAGCGCGCTGTCCGTGGAGAATACTAAACTGTTAGTAAGATCGAAGCAGATGGTCATTTTGTAATTGCGTGCATTTTGCTCGGAAATACCGGTTAAGAGAGGCGCGCATTTAGCGTCCACCTCCTGGCTGTCGGGGATGGAATATAACGCGACGTTTGTCATTTTCTGGCTCACAATTAGCGATGTGAACTTGAATGCACGTCTGTCGAGTAACGAGAAGACGTGTGGTTTGAAGTGTGCGCATCTCAACGGTCTGCTGGAAACGTTTGCGTTTGGGATTGCGCGTCAGTGAATGCAGTCACCACACCCGCTCGGTCTCTGCAGTGCCGGCGAAAAAGACCCCTGTTAACAGACTTGTGTCATCACGCTCCCTTTGGTTTTTTAATCAAAAGCATTCTTGGCGTCTTTACTTTTTGCAACAACAATCTCGAGAAAAGATGTATTTGCTTGGAAGGCGTTTGCCAGCCCCAGACCTGTTGCTTAATCGTGTCATGTCACGCTTAGAGCATTTCCTCCGAATGCTGCCTCCGAGTTGTCCATTTTAAGCAATTTATTACAAAATAGGCACAGTGAGTGTAAGGGAATAATGCCGCTCTATTCACTGCTGCAGTGCTCCTCGAGGAAAATCAGGTCAACTTGCTGTAAAATTAGTTCCATTGCTGTGACAGTAAGGCATTAAGAAGCGTGGCAGTGATTTACGCCACAAACACAGCAGTTACATCACTTTCAAAATGTAGCTGGATCACTTTCAATGCTTCAAAGTGATACAGAAAAGTACTGTAATTCCAAATAATGGGGCCAGGTGGTAAAATGCTTCATGACATATCATGTTTTTGCAGAATCTATTAATTTCACACCCACCTCACATGGAGGTCTGTGGTTCTGTGTTTGTGCGAGAGCTGGAAGCTTCCAATAACTCATCAACCCAATATAATTGTCCCTGGGGAGTGACTGGGGCTTTATGAGGGAAATAAAAGTATTTCCTTGAGATTTTCTGGGACTTGTGATCAGAGAGAAATACATGGTGCTCAAATTCTGATCTGGACTCTAAATTCTAAATACCTCATTATAAGAGCTGTTTGGATGTGCCCTTGTGTAATTAGGGTGAATTTTTTTTCAACAGTCACACCAATTATTCAACACTCAGCCATCTTAGGACAGCTTGCCCAAATGTGTCTCCCCCTGAATTCCAATGAACAGGGCTGTTCTTAATGTCCAAAATTTCAGCACCATGAACAGTTCCTATTGCCTCCGCCACCCGCCACCCCACTCATCTCCCCAGTTTCCCATGGCCTTGTCTGTCTGCAGGGAGGGCTGACTCGCTCGTTTACAGCAATGCAGTCTCGACATTTGTCTCCATCAGTCTGACAAGCTTCTCTGCACCCCACACAGCAGCCAGAACACACCTCCGCTGCGTTTTCTGTATGTTTAAAAGGTCAAAAGGAGCTGCAGACATGTTAATTAGTAATTACTTATTCAGTAATACAGTTGAACTTCATTACAACGTACCTCGAGGGACATAACGAATCTGTACTTTATAACAATAGTTCTTTGTAACCATTTCCAATAAAAATGGTCACCCACAATGATGTATAATACAACTCAACTCAATTGTATTTATAGAGCACTTTAAAACAACCATCACGGCATACAAAGTGCTGTACATGGAGCAAATATCATATACAACAATAAAACAAAAAATTAATAATAAAGACAGTAGAAAGCACCAAACAGTAAGACTAAGATCAAGTCTGAGTACAGTATGAACATTTATAGATGTAAAAACACAAACATGAAATACAGTATAAATATGTCAATTACAAATACGTGTATACAGGATGAAGAAAAAATGATTTTATTAGATATGAAACAAACAACTGTAGCGTTCCTACTTCATCTAGGATAGCCTTCAGTCAGCAAATGTATCGTGACTTCTCCAGTTAAGGATGTGCAGCGCCCCGAAGCCGTTTACGATCGCCTTTCAATTTGTTGGCCTCGAACTCTGCCATGAATTTTTTGCCATTAGGGATGATTGTCGAAATCGTCGACTTTGTCAGTTCGTAGTCTCGGCTGAGCTTTGTCAGGGAGACTCCCTTTCGAAAGTGACAAACAATTTCAGCCTTCTCAGACAGTGAGATTGCTTCCGTTTACCAGACGTGTCTCCGGAAGTACACCAATGTACGAGTTGAGCGGTAACGTGGCTAAGCAAAGGAGGGGAATCCTGCACTGTACATTTTCTTCATAAGCAAGGTCGCGGTGGCAGTTAGCTTCCCACGCTTTGTTGCAACGAAGGCATTTTTACGATTTTGTGGGTCAAATCTGGTCGTTATAATGAAGTTTATGTTATATAGGTGTTCGCTGTTAAAAAAAAAAAAAAAAAATGAAATCCGGACTTTGAAATGTCAACATGATAGGGGTGAAAATGTAAACGAAATACGTTGATAGGAGACTGTATGATGCGTACTCGAATAGAGCGAATTCAAAAATCTATTCACGGTACAATGTCCTTACATAGGCTGGAATGATAATTTTTGTGAAAAAAAAAAAAAAAAAACAGGAACAGGAGTAAAAGTCATCAAATTCATCCGGTTTGGTTCACTCTTCTGGGATGGCTTGCCCTTAATTCCGAAAGTGTTTGATGGGTTTCGCGGCTGTCAAGTTTTTCCATCCCGAAATCATCCAAATATACCTTTCTGGGCTGGCTTTGCAAACTGAGGCGCAATCATGCTGAAACAGGAAAAAAAGGACCTTCCCTAAATGTTAACCATTCGCATTGCTGCATGGAATTACTGTATATGACATGTCTTCCAAGATGTAGAGTCAAGATCCCGGGGGGAAATAAAGCTCACCGGACACTTAGCGACGCGGCCAAAGGCAACCGGACTGTCGCGCAGTGTGCTGGGTTCTGCATCTTGTTTTATAAGTGGCCAACTGTCACTAATTAGTTTTGATGAACAGTGTCGTATTGTTCTAGATGCAAATTAAAAATTCCGTAGCACGTTGGCTCATGGTGGTTAGCATGTCCGCTTTAGAGTACAGAGGCCTGGCCTGGTCTAATTTCAATTGTCTATGTGGCGACGTGTGCTCAGTTGCCTACTAAAATGCAGACATACAGTCAACGAATCAAGCTATGAGGCCAACTGCCTTTCAAGTATCCATCCTTTTTTCTTTCTTCCTCCTCGTTTCCTGTCCCTGTATCACTATAATGTAGCTAGTGACCGGGCAAATCTGCTCCTTTTTGACACTTAAAATTGTACTCTTTTCCATGTATGTGGTTGTTGTTTGAAATGGTGCACAACCACACTGTTTGGGATTGAGATGCATTTGATGAAGCCCTTTTTTTCTCATGAGAACGCAGGGGTTGTTGTAATCACCATACGATTGCGCCACATCTGTTTGGGGAAAATCCAGCCTCACCAACAAACATTTGTCATATGTAAAATCAAGATACATTCAAGATGGGTTGTTGAGTCAAAATACGAATCAATTTAGCTTTCCTGGCCTCCATTTCCTTCCATTAGTTTAAAGTACATGAATCATACCACAGTCGTCACCAAACGTGTTGCTTTTGCAAGCTATGTTTTTTTTTTTAAACACCCATCAGATGTCATTTTCAAATCCCTTAACCTTTTTATCTGACAGTGAAATGTTGACTGCTGTGGGGTTTTTTTTTCCCTATTTTCACCCATTTTCTTCTAAAGCCGCTAAATACAATGTTTGATTGTGTTGATACCTCAAGGCAGGAATTGTTTGTTTTTCCTACTTGTAACGCAACCTTCACCCTTGTGTCATTTTGAAGATAGAATTTATTGTTGCATTTGAGAGTTTGATCAACATGTCTTGTTGCACTGCACTGCAAAGAGCAAACAGAAAAAAAAAATAGAAGCAACCCATATAACAGAAACAGATCTCCTTTGCCCTTGTTTCTTTAAAGGTGTTGCATTAGAAGGGTGATGAGATTTGTTTTACTTCAGCTTCTGTTTAGCTCATGCAACCAAATATTTCATGTACATTTAGAGCTTTGATTTAAACTTTCACCTTTGTATTTATTATGAATCTCATTT